GGCTGTTATTTCAAATAGCGTACCATATTTTAAACTAATCGGTTAACCGGTTTCAACCGGCTACTGAGGCTCGGTGGTCGGTCAAGAATTTTTTTAGTTTTCGCCATCCCTAGTCTGAACCCTCAAAATCACACCACGTGCATTTATTGTAAGTATTAAAATAGACTGCATAACCATAGATTACAGTATTGCAAGGCCACTGAACTTTTAAGAATTGGCTAATAGTTCTAATAATTGCCTTCTAAAAGTTTTGTGGCATCAGTGGGATTTGAATATCCCAGCGTGCTTGTAAGCACTGTAAATAGCCCCAGTGTGTAATTGTTGTTAGCGTAGATACTTCTTGTGCTGTGTACCCGGCTGTTACGTGTACAGTTGGGTGTGTTTGTACTCAGTCCTTGCCTGATTCTGACGTGCACCCACTGTGTGTGAGCCTTACTGTCCTTAGTGTAACTTCCCCATGTTTCTCTGCCATTCGGTGTCTCTGTATTGTCGTTTGTCTGTGGTCCTTTTAAGGATTACATTAAAAGAGCAACTTCATGAAAGTCCACACCTCCTAGTGTTTGGTCGCTGCCGCTGTCATGATGTCTCGGTGTACCTGGCACCAAAATGTACTTTTCATCAATGCCATGTAAATCATGCATACGACCAATTTAACTTTTGTGTAGTACGACCAGTCATGTACTAGAGTTTACCATAAATACACCTGTGGGGGTATTCTTCATACAAGGATTAAAACACTCAAGATCAGAGGACTCATAAGCCCATCTTTTTTGATGAAGCAGGTTTCAATCTGACCAAAAGGAGGTGTCCCTGGAATGTCCTTGGCCAGTGAATGTGACCATGTGCAGGGCTGGGCATCTTTCAAAATTTTTATAACGTAATAACATGCTTGCAGCGCAATCACATACAATAAAAGCTATTTACTGATTGGCTAGTAGGTGGCTATTAACTCTGTAACTCAGGACAGCTATGAACTTGGTGGAAAACTCACCGCCGTATACCTGCGCCTCGTCCATTAATTCCATATAACAGGACACCTTGGTGACAGGGACGGATTACGAACCAGGCCAGCGGGGCAGCTGTCCAGGGGCCCTTGGGGTGCAGGGGGCCCATGGGGCCACTAGCCCAAAACAATTTGCAACGCTTATCA